CGGCGAGGGCGATGGCGCAGACGACGAGGACGAGGAGGGGCGGGAGGTGGTGGAGGAGGTGGCGCTCGACTTCGAGCATGAGCTCTTCCAGTTCGCCTCGGACCGGCAGGTCATCCGGCGGCACATCTCTCCCCATCTCTCCCCATCTCTCCCCATCTCTCCCCATCTCTCGGACCGGCAGGTCATCCGGCGGTACATCTCTCCCCATCTCTCCCCATCTCTCCCCATACCTCCCCATCTCTCGGACCGGCAGGTCATCCGGCGGTACATTGCGCTGCTTCGCCACTTTGCGACGCTGCCGCCCGAGGTGGCCCACGCGGCGTGCATGTTCCTCTCGCGGCTCGTCAAGCAGTGCGGCCTCGAGGCGATGCTGTTTGAGCTGCAGCATCTCGCGGTGTACGACGACGTACTGCAGAGCCCCGCGTCCAAGCTGCCGCAGCACAGGGAGGTGCGGGGCACGTGCGCCTTCGCCGCGAAGCGCTTCCTCGAGGTTGCGACCTCCCCAGATCTCCCCACACCTCCCCAGATCTCCCCAGATCTCCCCAGATCTCCACAGATCTCCACAGATCTCCCCATATCTCCACATATCTCCACATATCTCCGCATATCTCCCCAGATCTCCCCAGATCTCCCCATATCTCAGGTCGCGAGCCGCAACCCCCCCCATATCTCCCCACATCTCCCCACATCTCCCCATATCTCCCCATATCTCCCCAGATCTCCCCACATCTCCCCACATCTCCCCACACCTCAGGTCGCGAGCCGCAACCCCATATCTCCCCAGATCTCCCATATCTCCCCACATCTCCCCACACCTCAGGTCGCGAGCCGCAACCCCGCCCTCTTCGTCGAGGCGCTCTTCCACATCCGGCCGAGCGACTGCGAGCAGATCGTCGAGGGAGGCTACGTGCAGCGCGAGGGGAGGGGCGACAAGCGGCCTCTGCCGGAGGAGGAGGCGGCCGCGGACGCCTTCGACGAGGCTGCCGCTGTCTCCGACGCCGACGGCGCCGACGGCGCTGCCGCGGCTGACTCGGGCTCTGCGCGCCGCAAGGCGCCGCGCCGGGCGGCGTGGAAGGAGAAGGAGGACGCGCTGCTGCGGTACTGGCACCCGCGCTACGTGGGCACCACCCCCGACTGGCACCACGCTGTCGCCGGACACCTCGCGCCGCGAAGCGCCAACGAGGTCGTCCTCCACCCGCCCGAAGAAGAGCTCCGCCTCTCCCCCGAGGAATGAGAGTACTTACTCATCACCTCTTATTGACAGGTGCTCCACCGCGCCAAGAAGCTCCGCCTCTCCCCGGACGACGCTCCCGACTCGGGATCGGAGCCGTCCGCGCCGTCGCTGCCGCCGTCGCTGCCGCCATCTCTGCCGCCTTCGGACGACGAGGCTTCGGCACCTCCCTCGCTGCCGCCCTCGCTGCCTCCCTCGCTGCCTCCCTCGCTGCCGCCCTCGCTGCCGCCCTCGCTGCCGCCCTCGCTGCCGCCCTCGCTCCCGCCTTCGGACGACGAGGCTTCCTCCGACGAGGACGCTGCGATCGGCGCGGCACTGCCGGCCGCTAAGCGAGAGCTGGTTCCTCATCGTGAACCATTAATTATGGTTGACAGGAGCGGCACTGCCGGCCGCTAAGCGCGGGCGGCCGCCTGCGTCCCCCGTCTCCCCTCGCGCCGCCGCCGCTTCGGGGGCGGAGCGGGAGGAGGCGGCGGAGGAGGAGGAGGACGAGGAGAGTTCGCCGCTGTGCGGCACCGAGTGGCAGTGAGGAGTGACGGTACTCGACTCTGTAGGACGATGGCGAGCTGCCCCTCTCTCCGGCCGGCGCACCCGCGACCGCAGGTGCCTCTTCCTCTCCCTCTCCCACTAGCTCGCTCCTCCCTGTCTCGCTCACGGCCTCTGTCTCGCCATCGCTTCCGCGGTCTCTCTCACGCTCGCTCACACCATTCCCGGGCGTGGCGTATGCCACTGGCTTCTCACCACCCCTCACCACACCTCTCCCTTCTCGGCGCAGTCTCACCACCCCTCACCACACCTCTCCCTGTCTCGGCGGACGAAGGCGCCGACCCAGCCAGCGACCGCATTCACTGCATCTGCGCCGCTCGTATTCGCGCACTGTGCTCTCAATGCCGTGCTCCCAACCCCTGAGGGTGTCGGTCTCTTCACGCGAAAGACATCACCCCGGGCCAAAGACACGCACAAGCACAGGCCGTCGAGCAAGGGAGAGACACAGCAACGACAGTCAGAAGGCAGCACTGGGCCCCAAGAAGGCGAATGCGAGGGCGGCACCTAGCGCGAGCTTTTCACAGCTATGAGCTCACAAACACGCGAGTAGATCGCTACTACAGTTGAGTCAGTTAGGAGCCGTCCGACCCAGGCGACTCACACCCAGCTGGCCCTCTCCCCCTGCCACCTCCACGCCGCCTCTCTCCCTCGCCGCTCCCGCCCAATGCACTCCGCCGATTCACCCCGATTCACCCCGTAGGAGCCGCGACAGGCGCCGACTCGGACAGCGAGGCGTCGCCACGCGCCTCGACGGCCAGCGAGCGGTTCGACGCCTCGGATGCGGCGATGGAGGACGTCGGCACGATGGCGTACGCGGGCGAGCCGCCCCCGCCCTCGCCTCCACCGCCCTCGCCTGCACCGCACCGCCCGTCTCCGCCAAGCCCGTCTCCGCCAAGCCCGCCGCCGCCCTCGCCTCCGCAGCCACCCAGCCCGCCTCCACCCGCCGCCGCAAACTCCCACACCGCTCACCCACGCGCACTGGGCCTTGCACGTTGAATGCCGTGGCGCTCCTGCCTTGTTTGGAGACGTGGAGTCGCGAGGATTGCCTGCCCCCCCTCCCCCCCCCCCCCTTGCCCCCCCGTGAGTGTGAAGAGACGTTGCGCCCACCTCACCTCGCCTCCCCCGCCGCCGCGGAGGCGCGGCGAGATCGCTCGAGATCACCCGAGATCAGCCGAGATCTCCCCCGCGCCGCAGGAGCGACGGCCGCCGCCACGGCGGCGCCCGCCTGGGACGCCTCCGACGCGGAGATGGAGGAGGCGCAGACCATGGCGTACGCACCCGCGACCGAGGCTGCCGCCGCCGGAGGTGCAACCGCGGGCACGGCGGCGGAGGCGGCGGCGGCGGCGGCGGCGGCGGAGGAGGAGGAGGCGTCCCAGCCGGCGCCTGCCGCCAACTCGCAGCCCAAGAAGCCGCGCCGCCGCGGCGTGGTGCTGAGCGACGACGAGTCGGACTAACCCTCACCCCAGATTCCTCGAGGGGATCTCTCTAGCTTCCCGACTCGAGTGTCTGCCCGCTCGCGTCGGGGTGGCGGGGCGCCGGGCCGTGTGTGGGACGAGGCCGGGCTGGCTCTCCCACACGCCACCCACACGCCACGCTGGTGCCGAAGCAGGGCTCGCGCGGACCCCGCCAGCCGGCATGCCGGCATCGGAGAGAGTGCTTCGTGAACAGTTGCACTCTCCGATGTCCCTGTTCTCCCGAGGTCCGACGAATTGTCACCGCCGTCGCGCACGCATGTGCATGTAGACGGTCCAATTCACAATTGTTAAAACAGCGGATTTTTTTCTTTTCGGGTCGTATATAACTGGTCACCTCCCCCGAGTCCCGTCATACGCTCGCCAGACGTGACAACGCGTGCGTGGCCCATATTATTTAAGATTCCTCCGGGACCCCGCCCTCCACCCCGTTGACCGCGGCGCGGTGGCAGGATGCCTTGGCGCGGCGCTCCGCCTTCTGCCTCTCCGCCGCCCGCTCGGCGCGTGCGGCGACGCGTGCGCCTCGTGAGCCCGCAGCCCTGCTCTCTCCTACACCACGAAGTCGCCCATGCGCCTCAGGCCTCACACAGGCGCCCGCCCGCCCGGCCGGAGCAGCCCCCACGCGTCGCCGCAAGGCCGCTCGAATTGGCCGCCTTCCGTCCCCCTCAATGCTTGCCGCTCGTCCCCCCCCTCCTCGACTGGTTCCACTGTTCCGTGGTCAACGGGCGTTCGACCACACCACCGGCAAAGGCTACGTCAAGTCACAGCGTGGCCACTACCATGATGGGATCTTCACCAAACGCAACAAGTTCAACCTGCTTCTCCACGAGACATTCGGCGGCGGCTTCTCGCCGCCAGCAGTTGCAAAGATCAACCGCCTTGCGCGCAAGGCTCAACGCTCGGGCGTTGACCGCACCGCGTACCCTCCCCACTCCCGCCTCTCATTTGTGTCACACCACGCGGAACGCATCTCCATCGCTTCGGTGAAGGGGGTAAACCGTGCCATCCTCGATCGCCGTGCAAAGCTCGCTTCCGAGCTCTCACGCCGCGCGTAGGGCCCTTAGGGGCCTAGAGAACACAACCGCCTCTCTCTTTTCTCCCAGTAAGCTATAAGTACGTACATACATAAATTCGTTTTTTGAGAGCGCCTTCGTTGTTTTAATAATACGCCCATGGTCCCTGGTAGCAGTCACTCGCACACACACGCCGCACTGCACCGCGCCCGCCTACCGCCCCGCCCAGGCGGGAAAGAGATGAGGATCGCGCGCCTTGCTGGGGGGGAGAAGAATTTAAACAAAACAACTCTCTCTCTCACAGCATGGGGGGGAGAAGAAAAGAGGAACCTCTTACGGGGGAAGGACCGTGAGTTGACGGAAATCGGGGGACGCGACCCACTTCGCCACAGACGGTCCCGCGCCTCGCCGCTATGACCGCTGCACGGCCCATACCGTCCGCTGTGCAGCCGTCTTTGTCCGGAGTGAAAGGTCCAACGCGCTCGTCGGTGGCGGCTTCCCCCAATCTGTGTCGCGCTCGGCGAACCTCGACAGCGCCTTCGGTGGTATGCAGCTCTTTGCGACAGTGAGAAGCCTGGAGAGCAGCTTCTCTGCTGCTCACACGCTCTGCACAGTTGGCACAGCCCACTGTGCGGCTGCCACCAGCTGTCACAGCGATGGGCTCGCCCTCACTCGCCCTCACTGGCCCTGCCTCAGTCACTTGCACACGGGTCAGCCTGCCAGCCACGTATCCACAATCCACGCAAGCGTGGTCCGCGCGCATGGCATACAGGCGTTCGCCAGACAGCGCAGAGGCTAGGCGACGGAGGAGATGGGACAGCGAAGGAGGAGCCCAAACGCGTAAGGGAGGTGAGTTGTGCGTTCTTTTTCGGCACTAACACCGGTCGGTCCGCCATTCTGTAACAAGTCAAACTGTGAAAACAAAGGGGCCAGGGGCCAGGGACGGTGAACGTTCTTTTGGCCGCCACCCCAGCAACTCGTTCACGACCCCGGAGACTAAGCGTACTAAGGGCCAGGGGCCAGGGCTGGTAAACGTTCTTTTGGCCGCAACCCACGCAGCAACTCGTTCACGACCTGCGGATTAAAGGGTCGGGGCCGGGGATGGTGAACGTTCTTTTGGCTGCCATCCACAGCGACTCGTTCACGATCTCAGGCGATTACGGGCCAGGAGCCAGGACTGACTGGTGGACGTTCTTTTGCAGACACCCGAGCGAGCAAACGCGTTCGCGACGGGGCAGGGCGGAGGTCGTGAATGAGTTGCTGGGTGGCGGCCAAAAGAACGTTCACCAGCCCTGGCCCCTGGCCCCTTTGTTTTCACAGTTTTCACCAGCCGCGCTCTCGTGACGACACCGTCTACCCAAGCAGCGCCGCGTGAAAGAAATCCCGCACGGATGCCGCTGCTCGCCTTGCCCCCGGAGCTCGTCCTGCACGTGCTCATCTTCCTGCCTGCGCGGCGCCTGGCAGTCGCGGCGCGAGCAAGCGTGGTGTTCGCTCGCGCCTTGCCAGCCGTGGTCGAGGCGGCAATGGAGCGTTGCTCATCCGCATGGCCCACACTGCTTCCGGGCGAGAACGCGACATGGGCACTTCGAGCCGTGGAGATGCTTGGCGACGCTGGACGCGCGTGGCGCTACCTGTATACGAGCGACGTGGAGCTGCTGCTTCATCATCGCGAGTCGCGTGTGACACTCAGGCTATTGCATGACGACAGGTATGCTGACAGGCTGTCGCAGGACAGGTTACCGCAGGTGACCTGGTCGACACCTGCGGACGTGATGACTGGGGTCCTGCTAACTGGGAAGATCGACACAAGCTTCCTGGCGACGGAGCTTTCCAGCTTCCATCCACCATACGAATGCATCTTCGCAGCCCGCCGCGCGAGGGACGTGGAGAGTGAGGCACACGTGCGTGCGGCAGCTGGGTCCCCGCTCGAGCTGCTCGTGCGGCGTGCTGCATGCGGTGGCGTGGCCGACATCAGCTGGAGAGTGTGCCCCTGCGGCGCCCTCGTGTGGACCACGGGGCCGCGACGAGACTCCCGCGGGCCTTCTGCGCCGCATGCAGGCCTTCTGCGCGACATGCAGGTCCTCGCAGAGGAGATCAGTTCCCGAGACTCCGGCGGACCGTCGCGCCTTGCGCAACGCGCCGTGCGCAACGCGCTCGGGCTCCGAGGCGCGCCCGAGCAGCGTGTACACGGCTCACTCTCAGCGGACGGCTTCCGAGTGACCCCTGGCGGCAAACTCGTGCATGAGTTCCCGCCGGTCGAGGAGAACGTGATCGCGTTCCTGGTTGAGATGATGACCGATATGATGCACCCAAATCAGCATGGTCAGCTTCACCCCGTCATCCCTCCATTTGCCGTGTCGCCGGTGTGACTTGGCGTGCATTGCCCGCGGCGTCGTTGTGCAGCCGGACGGGGGAGCCGGTGCGTCGTGCGTGCGCCGTGCGTGTACGGACATCGGTAAATTACTCCGATAGTGATTAGTGTTGGAATGGCAGGGCCGCGGAACCCCAAACTCGTGTCCTGGGTCCCACGCGCTCCGCGCTCCGTTCCGGCGTCAAGCTCGCTCCGCTCTTTTACGGCCGCTCTTTCACGCCACATCACGCGTCGGGCGACGACGGTCGACGCGCGGCTCGATGATGCTCTTTAAATTCTTTGGACCCACGGTCCCGCGCACACCGACGCGTACCCGCACAGGGGAGGTCGCCAGATCGGCTCGATGATGCGTTCCGAGTCGGGTTCGAGCACGCAACCTAACGCCACGGGTTCCTTTCCCGCGTACGCCCAGTGTACGCCCGCGTGCTCCTGCCAGCGCACGCGCGTCCGCTGCCGTGCCCATGTCCTCTCGCAAGCGCGCCCGGACGGCTGTGACGACACCGGCTACCCAAGCAGCGCCGCCCAAGGTCGCCATAAGTGGTGGCACGGCGTACACGGAAAAGTTTGTGACACTGTGGCAGCAGGGCAAGGCCAGATTGCACTGTGAACGCTGGCGGCAGCGCCTTCGAGGCGCACCGCATTGTGCTGATGGCTGGCTCCGACTTCTTCGACGGCGTCTTCTCCTCCGGCATGGCGGAGGCTGGCTCGGCTCAAGTGACGCTGCCCGAGGTGAATTCCCCGAGGTGCCCGCCGCTGCCTTTGAGGCCGTCCTCGCCTACCTCTACACAGGTCAGGCGGCAGTGACGGAGTACCTGCAAATCGCGCCGCTCTTCGACTCCGTCGCCGCGTGCCTCGAGGCACGCCTCACGCCGGACAATTGCAGGGGGAGTGGTGTGACTGCTCCTGTGGTGCGGGCGACGGCTTCTGAGGAAGCCGTCGCCCGCGCCTCGCCTGTTGTCGCGTGAATCGTGTCGTGCGACCGCCTTGCGTGTAAAATTCTTTTTTGTAATATTCTTTTTTGAGCTAACGCAGACTCGAATTCTTATTCGGTGTACCTGTGTTAGTGCCAGTGCGCGCCAGGTGCGAGGATTTGCAAAATTCTTATTCGGCCAGCCGATGGCGAGTGTTTGCCTCTCTCTCCTGCTCTGGCCCGCCGCGGTGCTGCCCTCCGCCCGCGTGGTTGGCCGCCGCCGCCTCGCGCTCTCAACCGCGGCCGCCCTCTCCGCCGCGACGCTGCGGCCTCGGCGGGCGGCGGCCGACCGCGGCAAGGACCTCTACACGTCCGACGGAGCGCTGCTGCAGAGCGGCGGCGGCGTGGTGCAGGACGCGCTGCTGCCGCAGTTCGATTCGAGCGGCGCGCTGATCGTGGGGAACGGGTACTCCGAGGAGACCGCCTACCGCACCGTCCGCTCCGGCCCCGCCTCGGTCGAGGTCCTCAAGGGCTGGGTCTCGACCGACGCGGGCGGGCTGCGAGACCCGGTGACGGGCAGCGCCGCGTCGCTTGTGCGGATGAGCGCGCTGCCCACCGGCGCGAGCAGCATCGCCGAGCTCGGCAAGCCCGAGCAACTCCAGCTCGTCTCCTCCCTCGGCCTCGAGGCGGGGCTGGCGAAGGCGACACTTCCGAGACGCTTCCGAGACGCCTCCGAGACGCCTCCGAGACGCCTCCGAGACGCCTCCGAGACGCCTCCGAGACGCCTCCGAGACGCTTCCGTGACGCTTCCGACACTCGTTCGAGCGACACGCCACCCTCTCCTCTGCCATCCTTTTTCAGGCGGACCTGGTGGCTGCCGCGCGCCGCACCGCCGACGGCGCCGCTCTCTCCACAGCCGCACAACTGTTGAGAGACGCTCTTCACGCCTCGAGCCGTGAACAGGCGTCGTCTTTTACGACTACGACCTGGCGCTGCCGGCGACAAAGTGCGGCATTGCGTGCCGCCGCCGCCTGCTGCGAGGCCGGCTCGCCGCTCAAGCAAAGCGGTGGGAGATAGGTGCGACGACACGCTCGCCGCCGCTTGCCTCCCTTCCCTCGTCGTCCTCCTCTCGGCGTGTGTGCGCGATAGGCCGCTGCTGCCGCGGGGCGAGAGAATGAGTTCATACATCGACCGTCTTGACTGGTTGGTTGATCCATCGTCAGGCAGCTGCACGTGCTTCGGGTGGACGCTTCCCCCGACGAGTGGCGCCGCGCCGGCAAGGCGCTCAAGGCGCTGCGATCGACCTTCGCCGTCGCGGCCAGCTGAGGAGAGCTTGCGGCGCCGGGGTTCCGCGCGCGTCGGTTAGTACACTCGTGCGGTCAAACGCATTTTTTGTTACATTTTGCCGATGTGGTAAACGAGCAGACTGCTCCGCCTCTAGCTCTACGGCTCTACGGCTTTAGGCAGCCTTTAGCATCTAGCATGGGGTAGCAAGTAGCATTGACGCCGTGGGGCTCACAGCTCACACTTTGCCCGTGTCCGGGTGTGGAGATGCGAGGGTCGCCCCCCCTTCGGCGCTTGCCCCACCCCACTTTGTGTGTGTGTGGAGAAATTTACCTTACATCTTACCTTGTACCTTACCCTTTCCGTCATCCGGAACACCTTCCTTGAGACTAGACACTAGTTGCAAATACGGGTGGTGTGACAATGACCACTTTTTTGTGATGTCTATTTGTCCGTGTTGCTCCGCAGCCGGCGCTCGACTTTAGATGTGATGCCGAGCTCAGTCGCCATTCAATGCGTTTCGGCCCGTCGCATCTCGGCTCGCTCTTGCCAGGCGGCAGCTTGTGCCTTTGCAGTCGCCAACGCGACGCTCCCTGCAGCCGCTCCAGACGCATAGCCACTCTGCTCACCTTGAGCAAAGGCAGCCTGTACGCTCTTGCCGACCTGAGCCTGCAGCGCGACCAGCTCCTCTTCCCGCGAACTCACCTCCCGCTGTAGGGATGTGGCGCGAGAGTGAATCTCCTGCCTTGCACGCTCGCTCTGCGCCAACATCTCGCGCCGGGTCGCCTCGCTATAAAGAGCCAGCACTGTCTGCGCAGCCTGCAGGGCAGCATCGGTTTTCTTTTTGAGCCGATGGTGCTTCCACTGATTGCACCGCGCCTCGCTGTGCTTTCGTGAAGCCGGGTGGACGTGGGGCCTTCCGATGGGACGCGTCCAAAGTGACCCATCCTGCAGGACATGACGACCACCCACCGCTTGTGCAAGCGTGATCACGCGCTGCTGCACTGGCTGCTGCACTGGCTGCTGCTGCACCTGCGCCGGGGCGCGTGTAAACCCCTGCCACCGCGAGTGCGGCCGCGGCCGCAGTGGTGTAGGCGGACAGTAATGATGCCGCGCGGGCGGAGTGGCGGACACGAGGACGCTGCCGTCGGACGAGGGGTTGCTATCGTACGCAAGCACGAGCCGTCGGTGACGCGACGGCGTCATCACCGTTGGCCAGCATAGAAGCGCGAAAACCTGCCCGTGTGTCGGATGCGTCCCCAAAAACTTGTAGCGCTACATCTTTGGACACACACCGGCGGGCGCTTTCGAGGCGACCGGCAGCATTTTTTCTAGCCACATGGACCTTTTTGCGGCACGATAGCTGGGCTGCAACATACGTGTACCTACACTCGACTACAGCTACGACTGCAACGGCGCGCAGCGCCGAAGAAAATTTTCTTCTCGAGCGGCGGCCGGTGTGGACGCCGTTGTTTCGCAGCTCGGTCGGGGGGGGGCGCCCCTGCGTTTCCCTGCGGTCGGTCGAAAATCATTTAGTGCGCGCACTTGTACGGTGCGGTCAACGCCCGAGCTTGAGCCTTGCGCGCGGCGGGCGCTCTGTCATGTATGCGGCCGCATCGAGGGGGGACCTCGCGCGCATAAAATCACTGCACGAGAAGGGCGTGCCGCTCACCGCCACTGCCAACGACGGCAGGCAGCCCATCCACGCCGCCGCTAAGGGCGGCAAGCTCGAGACGGTGCAGTGGCTGCACGAGAAGGGCGTGCCGCTCACCGCCACCGACAACGACGGCTGGCAGCCCATCCACGCCGCCGCTGAGGGCGGCAAGCTCGAGACGGTGCAGTGGCTGCACGAGAAGGGCGTGCCGCTCACCGCCACCGACAACGACGGCTGGCAGCCCATCCACTACGCCGCAAGGTGGGGCAAGCTCGAGACGGTGCAGTGGCTGCACGAGAAGGGCGTGCCGCTCACCGCCACCGCCAACGACGGCTGGCAGCCCATCCACGCCGCCGCTGAGGGCGGCAAGCTCGAGACGGTGCAGTGGCTGCACGAGAAGGGCGTGCCGCTCACCGCCACCGACAACGACGGCAGGCAGCCCATCCACTACGCCGCTGAGGGCGGCAAGCTCGAGACGGTGCAGTGGCTGCACGAGAAGGGCGTGCCGCTCACCGCCACCGACAACGACGGCTGGCAGCCCATCCACTACGCCGCAAGGTGGGGCAAGCTCGAGACGGTGCAGTGGCTGCACGAGAAGGGCGTGCCGCTCACCGCCACCGCCAACGACGGCTGGCAGCCCATCCACGCCGCCGCTTTGGGCGGCGAGGTCGAGACGGTGCAGTGGCTGCACGAGAAGGGCGTGCCGCTCACCGCCACCGCCAACGACGGCGGGCAGCCCATCCACGCCGCCGCCAAGTTCGGCAAGCTCGAGACGGTGCAGTGGCTGCACGAGAAGGGCGTGCCGCTCACCGCCACCGACAACGACGGCAGGCAGCCCATCCACTATGCCGCCAAGTTCGGCGAGCTCGAGACGGTGCAGTGGCTGCACGAGAAGGGCGTGCCGCTCACCGCCACCGACAACGACGGCAGGCAGCCCATCCACTACGCCGCAAGGTGGGGCAAGCTCGAGACGGTGCAGTGGCTGCACGAGAAGGGCGTGCCGCTCACCGCCACCGCCAACGACGGCGGGCAGCCCATCCACGCCGCCGCTGAGGGCGGCAAGCTCGAGACGGTGCAGTGGCTATATGTGCAGGCGCCGCAGCAACCGCTGCCACCGGCAGCGGTGGCTCTGTTCGTCGCGGCTCTTGCTGAGGAGCAGCGGGCGAGGCAGACTGCAGAGGACGAGAGGACAGCTGCAGAGCAGGCCAAGGCTGCACAGAAGGCCGAGGTGGCAGAGGCGCAGCAGGCCCAGAAGGCGGCCGAGCACGCGGCGGCAGAGGAGCAGCGGGCGAGGCAAACTGCAGAGGACGAGAGGACAGCCGCGCAGCAGGAGCTGTCACGGAAGACCGCCACCCTGGATGTCATCAAGACAGCCATTGCTGGCGACGCCGCCGGTGGGGCCTCTGCACTTGTTGGCACTTCCTCCGCAACCTCTTCCAAGGAGCCGCATGTCGAGACGGAGGTGCGCGTCAAGGTGGAGATCCCGTCGATGAGCGCGCAGTGCTTTCCTCGGTCCATTCTCGTCCTCTGCTCATCAGAGGACTCGATCGACCAGATCGACGAGGTCAAGGAGATCCTCAACGCGTTTGATCTCATCGACCTCTCGCACCCAAAGGCGTGCAAGTACCAGGCGGTGATGTGCACGACCATCGCTGAGGCGGAGAACTACCACAAGGAGATGCTGGAGGGCTGCCGCCCGTCGCCCGCGCTCGTGCACCTCATCTGCCACTCGAACACGTCGTCGTCGTTTGAGTTCGACCAGCCGATGCACTGGAAGCGGCTTGTTGAGATGTTTGCCGGCCCTAGCACGCACTTTTTCCTCAACTCGTGCAGCAGCTATAAGCGCAAGGGCTCTTTCATGGCCGACGCCACGAAGTGCCCACGCCCGCCCGCGAGCGTGCTGGCGTGGAGGCCGACGGTCTACAGCGACGACGCGCTGCTCGTTGCCAAGGCCTACTACGCGGAGCTCACCAAGCCGGACGGCCACCGCGGCAGCCTTGCGACGCGTGTCATGAACCACACCAGCCTTCAAGGGGTCAAAATGCTCGTCGAAACCACCAAGGACGAGCCTCCAGAGCGGAGTCCGACCAAGCTCCTCACCCAAGGCTTGTGGGCGTGGCCGAGCGAGCGGGAGGCGGCCGAGCGAGAGGAAGAGATCCGGGAACGAGCGGCGAAACGCAAGGCGCCGGCTGCCGCTGGCGGGGGGCACGCCACGAAGACGCCACGCCCACGGCGCACGGGGATCGCGCACTGAGATCACAGCGTTTTAAGCCAGGCTTCGTCAGGTTAGGGTTAGGGTGTGCGGTGTGTGGGGAGAATATACATAGAGTAGGTCATGCGGGAATCGGATTCGGAATTCGGATATTCGGAAACGCGCGGCCGCGCGGGGCCCAAAGCGCCCCCGAAAGGAATCATCGGTTTTATGATTATCGAGATTCAAATAAATATATCCAACATACAAACCGGCCACAACGACACCGAATCACAGATTTAGAGACGGAACTCTTCGGAACGGCTCCGGCAATACTGAAGAATGCACGAGGCGCGGCGCGGCACATCTCGGAATGGGGTACGGAAGGAGACGCGCCG